TCGCAACATTTTATTTATCTCGGCCTTTCTCTTCCAATTTTATAGCTTGTTCGTAAACGCTTTCAAGGAAACAACTAATTTTATGATGCTTGTATTCCTATCTTGCAACTTCAGTTTATTCTGCTGCTCAAAAATGTTTATCAAAGAAGCGAGGCGAATGAAAAATTCCTCGTCATTCAATCAGGCCAAAAAATCCATCATGCTCTGAACTTCAGAAAATAAGTTTAGCTCATTGCTAAGCACAAATACTCGCTCAGAAATATTTCTTCCTGAAAGCCATCGAACATTTGCGTGGAAACCAAGCACATGCATGGATCGATATAAATACATAACTGCTTGAAAAGTTGAGTTGAGATATCCCCTTTTAACAGAACTCTCAATTTGAACTGTTTGATCGAATTTCTTCCATAGTGAAGCTGGACGTGTTCTGCAGGTTAGTGCCTGACGTTGGATCATGCAATGAATGTCTTTCACTTTCAGAGCTCGCTTTTTCACACTAATTTGAAATCCACATTTTGTCCTGACATAGCTGGTGCTCCATTGGTAGATCAACCACAGAAATTATCCCAGAAATGATTTTCTGATTCGAAAGAAAACATGAAACCTTTTCCAAAATATCTGAGGCCTCGGCAGTTATTTCAAGAGGAGAACAAAAGAGGAACTCTTTTGTAAATGAACCTGAGTGAGCATATCTTGAAATAACAGCAACTGGAAATATGATTCGACATAAACTGATTCATCAAGTTGGACTAAAATAAGCCAAATGCTGCAGACCAGATCTCCAGTACAACTTGATCCTTGATTTTATCGGCAATGACACTGATTCTCCTTTGGACAGACCGCCAGATAGTACTGATTGTGAAACTACTGAAAATATTTTCTCCAATCTATTTTCCAACACAATTTATACCATCTTGAAAGCAAGGATTGATCAAAACTTTCCCAGTTGTCTGTGGTTCTTACTGTAGTGCTAAGACGTAAGAAGCTTCACCTACCTAATGGTTCATTTTTTAGAATATACGCGTTGAATTCAGCCTCACCTTTCTGAGAGAATTCCCATGGCGTTCAGACAAGTTTCGGTCCTTGTCTCTGTGCTGACAATGAACATTATGCAAATGTAGTTTCATCTTTGTTGGTTTCACAGAATCATCAGACAAAGCTATGTAACAAAAAGCACACTAAGGTGTTTCTTCTCTACTGATGACGATACTAAATATATGAATCATCGAAAACTCTTTCCTTGACACTCATGATGGGCTCCAAAATCTTTGAAATATAATTATAAATAGAATATTTCAACAAGTGTATACATTATTTTTGTTCAATTTTATCTGACTTACAATAAAGCGTGATGTCCTGTAAATTCTGCACAATCTGCAGAACTGTAGTTTGTAGAAAGATCAATATTCCCAATATTCCAACAGTTTGAGTCTGTGGTCCCAATTCCTTCCCCTGAAACCCTAAAATTCCTTTCTTTGTGACGGCTGGAAGGCCGCTGTTTTATAGCAAAAACGTTGGTAACTGTGTAACAAATGCCTTGTAACGTCAGCCTTTGTCTTGCGACTAAAACTAATGAATCAAAAACTAGAAGGATGACAACTTCATGACGTAGAATCAAAATTAACTTAAAATCACAAGCTTTCAACATTATGGGTAGCTTCTGTTTATACACAAGAGCATGAACTGAGGTATATTAGCTCGTGCTTGAACATTTTCCTCGACCAATCCAAGCGATGCGGTTTTGCCGATTGGCGCTACCAGAGAGCAGTATGTGCAAGCAAGCCCCGGAAAATCACAGACAGTTTTTATCTACACAGTTTTAAAATCGTCAGTTTTCTTCTTCTTGTTGCCTTTGTCTAAGGAGCCACGTGTAAGAGTCAATCATTCAGTGATTATGGTTCATCAATTCGCTGACCCAACTTCAGAGTATCATACCGATCGCTTATACAATTTGGTCATTCTGATCAAGAAAATCATAGCTGAGCGAGGAAACTTCAAATTTAACTGAGCAAATACAGCATTCGAAGTGCAAACCCTAGGCAACAGAACAGAAAATTCACATTTTAACTTCCTTAATCAATCAAATATTTACATAACCCTGACTATGGAGTCAGTTAGATATCAGAACGCAAATACTGATCAGTGTAAAGTAAGCATGCAACAAAACGATAACGCGGTTAAAATCGCCATTACTTTGATGCTTTCTGAGATGAATCGACAGTCGTTCCTTGGTAGGAAAGCTTTTTTCGCAGCTGCTGCAGGTGTAAGGCTTTTCGTTGGTGTGAATACGGATGTGCCTTTCCAACAAGTACCTGAAAATGCATGACGGTATGAAATAATATAACTACCAAACATTATTCTTCTTCGGCGTACTACCTTAAACAGCATAAATACCCCACAATACTGTTTCGAACGAAAACGAGGGTAATTCTGATCATGACCCAAACATGAAAACAGTGCTGGATTTTTACGTTCGAGGTTTAGTCAACCTGATAGGTTTAGCAGCAGTGTCTAAAGAGGAAAAGACGTCGGGTCACTCAGTAGGTAGAGCTCTGACTCAGAACAGAGAGGTCGCGGGTTCGAGCCCTGTTAAGGTTTCTTCTTTCTTCCTCAGAAGTCAATAAGCACCATTCTGTGGGAAAAAACAACACACAATGCTTGGCGCATAGCTGTCGAATCTACCTCTAAAAGAAAGCACACCGGGCTGATTATACGGAGAGGGAGATACGCACCTCATTATTATTTCATGTAAAGAATGCCGCCAAAAACTCGTCCCATCATGAAAGTGTAACGAAAAGATGAAATACAGGTAAAGGCGGGTCCCATTTACTAGAAACCAGCCATCCCTACATGACTCAGCAGATGCAAACGGGCGGTCAAAAACAGATAATGACGGGTTCACAGCCTTCGTATAACTTAGCAAAGGAAACTACGCAGAGACACCTAAATTTGATGTAATAAACACCTAATAATAATAGAAATAGAACATGCTGCGTTGAGAGGACAGGACAAATCGTACGCAATTGTACGTAACGTATTGCAGCTATTAATTTAAAGTATCTGTTATGTGCTGTATCCAATTTTACTTTTAGACAAGGGTATGAATGAATGCCTGAATTGATTTTCTATAGTCATAAACAACAAACCATGCTCCAAGAGCAACAGAAAACTGGATAAACTGCATTGATTTCGAATACCTCCTCTTGAAAATGTCTTTTCTCGCACAGCCTTGCCATTTGCACTGCCATGGTGAGGATTTTCCTTCGGTAGCACCCTCACCATTCCT